GGAAGGAATGGATGAGTGCTTTTCTCAAGAGAGGCCACTTTAAAGAAGATTTATTTTAACTCTCCCTCTGTCTCTTGTGTGTGTGTGTGTGTGTGTGTGTGTGTGTGTGTGTGTGTGTGTTTGAGTCTTTGGATCCCCTGGAGTTTTAATTACAAATGATTACAGATCATTTGTATTTATTACTTTTAAGTCTCTTTGTGTCTCTCTTTCTGTCTCCCTCCCTTTCCCCTGCTGTCACCCCCACTTCATCTAAATCATCAAGTTTTAGGTATTGTGTTATCGCTATAGAAAATGACAGTAGCATTTAAGGGGTGTTTATAAATCTGTTCTCTTAAGAACTCACTAAATTTTAATATAATCTGAGAGCAGGTACTTACAGTGGATGGAAATTAAAACTCAGTTGAAAAACTTAATTTTAATGAAACCAACCTAAAGTATTTGTTACATGGTAGATGTTTATCTATTCGACCTAGCTTCAGTTCCTTATATTCAAAGGTGAATAGTTATGAAGCGTATTTTATATTCTAATTAATAAACGGGTCAAGGAACTGAATGTTCAGTTTTCAGTGAACTACAAATGGCTGAAAAATATATGAAAAAGAGGTTCACAGCTTTAGCTGCCAGAGAAACACGAATTAAAAATGCTTTGAGCTGCTGGAGAGATGGCTCATTGGCCTAGAGCATGTACTGCTCTTATAGAGCATCTGAGTTCAGTTCCCAGCACCTACATCAGGCAGTTCACAATTGCCTATAATCACCAGTTCCAGGTGACCTGACGTCTCTGGCCTCCGTGGGAACTAAGACTCACAGGCACACACATGATTTAAAACTATAAAGAATTAATCTTATAAAATTACCCCACTCAGAATTCCTATCATCAAGAAAACACAAGAACAAAAACAAAACAAAAGAGAATTTCTAACAAAGCTAACAAGGATGCAGAGTAAAAGGAATCCATCTACGTTCATGGCAGAAATGTAGCTTAGTTTAATCTCTATGGAAATCACAATGGAAGTCTCTCAAAAACAAAAAGTAGAATTTTCATCTTATCCTGGTGTATCACTCCTGGGTATATTCTCAAATAAATCAAAACCACACATAGCAGAGATACCTGCATATGTATCAGTGTTACTCATGGCACTGTTCCCAGGGCCAAGTTATAGAATCAGTTGGTGTCCACCAGCAGATGAATAGATAAAGATGCATATTTACACAATGGAGTACCAATCAGCCATACAGATGGATGAATTACATTACTTAGTGGAAAATGGTTGGAACCAGGAGTCACCATCTTAAGTGAAATAAGCCAGACTCAGAATGGCAAGCATACCAATTTTCTCTCAGATGCAGAATCTATATTTAAAAACTATGAAAAGTATCAGGGATATGATTGAAGAAGGAAGGGGATCAGAGGAGTAAACGGTGGGTCTTTATTTTGATTTGTCACAGCTTTATGTTGTTTTCTCTAATATTATATAATTTACATATCTTCTTTCCTTCCTTCCTTCCTTCCTTCCTTCCTTCCTTCCTTCCTTCCTTCCTTTCTTTTTGAGACAGGGTTTTTCTTTTTTTTTTAAATACTTTTTATGGTTTATTTAACTTTATTTTTTTTTATGTACATTGGTGTGAAGGTGTTAGATCCCCTGCAAATGGATCTTCAGACAGTTGTGAGCTGCCATGTGGGTGTTGGGAATTGAACCCGGGTCCTCTGGAAAAGCAATCAGTGCTCTTAACCACCGAGCCATCTCTTCAGCCCCAAGACAGGGTTTTTCTATGCAGCTCTGGCTGTACTAGAACTTGTCCTGTAGACCAAGCTAGTCTCATACTCACAGAGATCCACCTGCCTCTGCCTCCTGAGTGCTGGGAATAAAGGCATATACCATATCTGTTCGGCCCATATTTTTTTAAAATATAATTTGCCTGGAATACAGCAAACACTATGGTCAAAAATTGGATTTTTAAATTACTATTATTTACTATAGTGCGTGTTTAATTATTCATTGAGTGAATGACCTTAGAGAAGGACTCAGCTACCCTAAAAATACTACTCCTATTGCTGGAGAGGCAGCTTAGTGGTTAAGAGCACTGGCTGCTCTTCAAGAGGACCCAAGTCCATTCTCAGCATCCACATGGTGTCTCACAACCACCTATAACTCTAGTTCCAAGAGATCTGATGTCCTCTCTTGGCCCCTACAGGCAGTAGTCATACAAGCATGCAAAACATCCATATATATATATATATAATAAATCAATAATTTATTGGTTTACCACTCCTAAATGGGTCTGGTGGTACATGTCTGTACTTCCAACATTGAGAAGCCAAAACCAAAGATCATGTATTAGTGAGGGGCCTCCCTGGGCTACATAGTGGGACTCTGCCTCAAAAAATCAGGAATGCAAAAAAAAAATCAGGAATGTGGCTCGGTGTTTGAGAGCTTGGCTGGCATGCACAAGGCTATGCCCTTCTAAAACTACAATAACATCAAAACAAACAAAACACTCTTTCCCATAGTTTCTGAACTTGTTTACCATTTAATCACTAAGCATCTAGTATGAGTCAACTGTGGGGCTAGAAGTTGAGTGAAACTTAGCACCCATCTTCCAATGACTCAGATGCCCGTGGGTGAGGCAAGATATGGCGGGTGCTGTAGGAGCTGGAGTTGCAAGGACTCCTCGTGGCGGTGCTGGAAAAGTTTTCCCAGTGATGTTAGTTCAGTAAGGACAGAGGAGCATCCTTGTCAAGGGCCAGGGAGCAGGGAGGGTGGGGGACCAAGGCTTGCTTGAGATTTCATCATTTTTCCATACCTAGTGTAAATGTAGTCACAGTTTTCAGAAACAACATGTTTCTGAAGATTCCCACATCCATGATTATTTTGTCCTTAGTAATAAATGTAACAATGTGGAGGCAACATTTTTGGGGTGCACGTGCTGACACCTGTCAATGTGAATGTATGCTTCCTTTCCATTCACCTTCTCAGCATTATTAACAAGGCATTGTAGGGTGCTTTGTCCTCACACCTTATCATGGTGGTACTTTGGCCTTCTAAATACTGTATTCTCGAATCTTACTTGTACTTATATACTTAGAGATTATTCATAAGTAACAATGCTCCTTAATACCTTCATAACATTGTTATCAGATCTGAACATATTTAAATGTGGGTGTTGAAATACACCATTAATCACATTTGGTAGGTAAAGGCCTGTGGTTCAAGGTGGAGGTAGAAGGTTCAAGATTATCATCTTCAGCTATATAGTGAAGTGGAGTCTAGCCTGGGTTTTATGAGACCCTGTCTCAAAAAGGCAAAAAGAAGAGAACATAATTATGATGAAAAATAGCATTATATGGTTGGTGAAATGGTTCTGGGTACTTCCCACCCATATCTGAAGACCTGAATTCTATTCCCAGAATCCACAGAAAGATGGAGAAAACTGACTCCACAAAAGTTGTCCTCTGGCTCCCACACATGTCTCATGCACACACTGTAATAAAATAATAGCTTAATAATAGCATTATAATCCAGTCTGCTGGCCTAGGCCTGTGGCCCCAATTAAAATGGTGGTTGAGACAGGAGGCCTTCTTGGGTAACTCTGAGTGAGTTCAAGGTTATCTTAGGAAACTTGGCTCCTGTCCCAAAATCTGAAAAAAAAAAGTAAAAGGAAGGGGGGAAGGTTGGAACTAGGGCTCAGTGGGAGAGCTTCAGAAATATGGAAGGAATAGCTTAACTTATGCCATAGTAGTGGAGATAGATAATCCTACAAGGGTAAGGTCTTCTTCTACTTGGCGATAGTGCAAACAGTTTCCAATCCCCTTGGCATAGCAGCTCTGAAATTACGCCAATATAGACCATGTGTAGCCCTGGCAGTCCTGGAATTCTCTCTGTAGACCATTCTAGCCTCGAACTCACAGGGATCCACCTGGCGCTGCTTCCTGAGTGCTGGGATTAAAGGTACGTACCGCCACCTTCTAGCTAGATCAAGTATTTAATTTTAAAATATTCATATTATTTTCAGTTACTTATAAAGTTACACCATTATTTTCCTATTATATTTGTTCAGTTTTGCCTTGGGTAGGAGAAAGACAGGTTAAAACTGAGTTTTTAGAAAGTTACTTGGTCGTAGTGGAGCCAATACATTCTATTTTGGGGGGCAGACCTTGGAACTTTCCTCTAAAACTCAGTGAAAGCAAGAAAACAAGAGAAGCCTGATGAACAGGCTGAATGAAAACAGATGAATCCAAATGTAAGACTGTCTCACTCTCCTTTTTTTCTAATTTATTTTGTCTTATGTATTTACTTTGAAGTTTTTGTTGCTTTGTTCACACCTCCATTAGCTCTCGGTGCATCATGATCTCCTCTTCACAACTTCTCAACATTTTTTCTCTGATTCTTTCTGACTCATGTTTCTTTGCTTTCTCAATTCTAATCTATGAAATACAGTTCTCAGTGGATAAGAATGCTTTCAACATTTTACCTAATAGTTTATCTAATAAGTCTCTTGTATATGTATGTGTGTGTAAATGTTCATGCATGCACATGCATGTATGTGTGTGTAGATCAGAGGACAGTGGGTATTATTCCTTCCACTATTTTATAAAGTAAAGAAACAATATTTATTTTTGTGTTTGTATGTCCATATGTCTAAGGTCAAAGGACAACTTGTAAAAGTCATTTCTGGGGCCAGGATTGGTGGCAGGCACCCTTATCCTCTGAGTCAATATGATGGCTACACCCTCCCCCCATTTTTGAGATAGGAACTCTCAATCTCTTGAATTTAGCTACTGGCTAGGCTGGATGGTCAGCAAGCTCCATATGGATGCACCTGCTTCTGTCACCTTAGCACTGGGGCTAGGAGCTCACTGCATCACTCTAGGTTTTGTTTGCATTTTAAATTTGCATTCTGGAGAATGAAAACAGGTCCTGGGATACTTTTCCAACCTTGTCATCTCTGCAGCCTGCATCTAATATTCTCATAAAGACCCTCCCAAGAACATATAGCAAGAACTAGCTCTTCAAAGCAAAAAAGTTGTATAAACCTTTGAAAACTAGACCACAGAGAGTGAATGACAGAATAACCTGATGAAAACTAGGTCACATGAGTTCCAATTTTGCCTGGGGAAAGTTACTTAATTTGGGGGACGAATCTCAGTTTCCTCATTTGAAAAACAAGGAAGCTGGAGGTCAAGTTTTAAGGTCTTTTCCAGTCCCATCATTCTGCAATTCTAGGCTATAGTTAAAGCTGCCACAAAGGATATATATCTATGGCAAATGTCCTAGTAGCCACTTCCTTCGGTAGTGATTCTCAACCCGTGGGTCTCAACCCTTTCACAGGGGTCACTTAAGACTATCAGGAAACACAGACATTTACATTATGATTCATAACAGTAGAAAATTATAGTTATGAAATAGCGTTGAAAATGATTTTATGGTTAGGAGTTACCACAACATGAGGAACTATAAATATTAAAGGGTCAAAGCATTAGGAAGGTTGGGAACCATTGGAAGGCAATACACAGCTATAGAATATCATTCGGTCAGAATTTTTAAATTGCTAGGAGTTTAAAAACATAGTATTGTATTAGAAGTAAAATGCTTTGAACTTGAAAAGCACTTACCATCCCATTTGCCCTCTCTGTGGAACTCCAGTTCTGTGAATAGGTGTGGGCTGAACAGAGGACCCTGCTACGAGATTAAATCTCTACAATCAGATGGGAAGTTATCTTGGAAGCAGCAAGATCAACACTCAACATTTCAATTTTTTTTAAAAAAAAAAACCCCATCTTTATTGTAGCCATGGGTAGAAGTGCACACCTTTAATCCCAGCACTTGGGAGACAGAGGCAGGTGAATCTTTGTGAGTTTGAGTCTACCCTTGTTTACATAGTGAGTTTAAGGACAGTCAGTGCTACAAGATGAGGCCCTGTCTCAAAACAAAACAAAACAAAACTCAAAACAAAATACCTGCATTTAGTTTGTGTGTATGAGTGTATGATGGTACATGCGTGGAGGTCAGGGACAACTTTGTGGAGTTGATTCTCTCCTTCTATCTTTATATGGATTCCACGAATCAATCTCAGGTCAGCAGGCTTTGAGGCATCTCTTTCACCTGTTGAGTCATATCACTGGCCAGGTGACATTTCAGTTCAATAAGTCAGTTAGTCCTTGACAATTGTGCCATCTTACAAATGTGTGTATGTCGGATGTGGAAGCAATAGGGGCAGAACACAACAGGAAATTAGATCATTAATGACAGGTATATTTAATCAACCATTAAATATAGACTTGACAAAAAAGGTCAGATGAAACTGACATACTTGGAATGAGTGCATGTGAAAGGAGAGTCGATGTTAATTTTGAAGAATGCTCCATATTTGAACAGAGGGAGAAGGGCATTGGGGAAGAGTAGTTGTGTGTCGGGGAACAATGGTGTGGTGGGGGTGGGGTGGTGGGTGGAACAGTTCTCTCCTGCAGCAAACAGAATATATAGGGTTTTGAGAGTCCTATGGAAGAGTCACACCCTGGTTAACAACCTCTCTCTCTGTTCCGAAGCTCTTGTCACACTGCAGGTAAGAGGTAAGGTACTCTGTAGGAGCGTGTCATAAAATTATTTGGTCGACTGGAAATAGGCAAAAAGTAAAGAGATTAAAGACATTCTTGATTGGTTTTGTTATGTGACCTCAAAATAGAGATAATTTTATTCAGCCCTTCCCTTGTGGAATGTCTACCCGGGGAAAACTATATGATCCAAGTACAGACCTGCCCAAGCCTTCTACTGCAGATCTTATCTATTATCAGCCTTGCATGAGGTCTCTTTTGCTTTCATAGGGTAGCCGAAACTGTTTCTGGTCATCCTATGATGCCACTGCCTTTTAGCTCTCAGACTCTCACAAGTGGATGAAAGAATATCAGAGGCAAAGTCTGTGTACCTTATCATTGCAACAGTCTAAAAACAAAACAAGAAGAATTCTACTTTTGTCCATTGAGTCAAACCGTAAAGAGATTTGTAAATATACAGAAGGCCGTAGAATGTTCAGATAGATGACTGTCTCAAAGAATACTATTTAAGAAAACTTGTGGTGTACTTTACAATCAACCACTATGTGACTACTTTAAAATATTTTCAGCTTTATATGTTTTTCTAGCACAGTACTTTACAGTAATATGAAAAATAGTCAAGAGAAAGAAAAGCTCTCCAGGGTCCCTAATAATTTTCAAAAGATGAAACAGAATCTGTGCACTGAAGTGACACTCTCTCACATCTAGCAGAGAAGAACAACCTGTTCTCTGCTTCTGTTCCTTATATGACTACTGACTTCCTGTCTTGGTGATAGAGGAGACACAGTCCTCTAGAGCATTTTAGCTTATTTGCCTCTAATCGTCATGCCATTGTTTCCAAATAAAGAGAGACTTGTCTTACCTTGGCCAAATAGTTCCCTCCGAGAGGAAGCGACTCAGAAGCTTTGCAGCCTCTTTCCTCTTCCTAGCACTGGAGCTGTGGAAGGCGGCAGCCCTGTCAGCAGCTGGAATACAGAGGGCATGGAGGTACAGAGAGCTTTCAGTCTGGGTGAGGACCGAGGCATGAGGAATGAGGAAGGAGGCAGCAAAGGGAGGAGACTGCCCCTGGCACGCCTCAGCCTCACACCACACACTCTTCAAGGCATGAGAAAACTTATAACAAAATCTTAGAAAACACAGGCATTTCCTTTAATGTAAATGTCAGTATTTGGTGAATCATCTCTTCTGTAAAAGCTGGGGTCTGACCCTTCCCAGGCCCATACCTCTTTCAGAAGGTTAGGAAAGCAACGTAAGGAAACGAACCGGCTTGGTTAGTTAGAGCATCCTTTCTCACACTGGTCCCTCTGTTCTGAGCTTGTCGCACTTCAGCATGAAATGCTTTTGTCTAACACACTGGAGTCATTTCTATAATATAGTCATTACACCTAAAATATATTTTTTTTTGGGAAAAATATTTCCGTATAGTATTTTCTTTCTTCCCTCCTTTAAGACTTTATTCAGGATTTTTCCTTCCAAGGTCAACATGGTATCACATGACACTTGTTGGGGCTGTTCAGATTTACTTCTCAATGGCCTGGAAACAGCCCATTTTCATAAAGCCTTTCCACTATCACATCAAATACCAAGCCAAATCTACATCATTAGAATCTTTCCTGTGTATGCACTCGTGTGTGGGTGTGTGGGAGTTGTACATTCATGTAGAGGCAGAAGCCAGCCTCTGGTGTTGTTCCTTAGAACTGTCTTATAATGGTTTTTGAAACAGGGTCTCTCTCTCACTAGGACCTGGGGTTCACATGATTTGGCTAGCTAATGATGTGCTAGTGAGACCCAGGGACCTCCCCAGTGCTGGGATTACAAGTGTGTGCCATCCTGCTAATAGGCTTTTTAAAAAGTTCTCTCTCTCTCTCTCTCTCTCTCTCTCTCTCTCTCTCTGTGTGTGTGTGTGTGTGTGTGTGTGTGTGTGTGTTCGTGTGCCATGATACATCTGTGGAGGTCAGAGGACAACTTGCAGGAGTGAGTTCTCTCCTTCCAGCATGTAGGTCCCAGGGACTGAACGTGGGCCTTTAGGCATAAGTGCTTCTCCTTGCTGAGCCATCTCACTGGCTCTATGTCAGGCATTATCTTTTTAAATGTGAGTTAGTTGGGGATTGACCACAGGTCCTCATGCTTGTGTGACTAGAATTTTAATGGTTGAGTTGTCTCCTCCCTCCCATTTGAATTTTTTTAAATAAAAAACTTGAGTAAAAAAAAGACTAAAAGCTGGATCCCGTAGCACTGGTGTCTAATCCCAGTGAGAACCTCCAGAGGCTCCAGGGTCAGCTAGACATCCCAGGACTGACATCAGAAGCGTGTCCTCTGATGTCACATACATCCTGTGGCATGTTGTTACCTGCAGGCTCTCTTCCCCCAGCACAAACACAAACAAAAACCATCTATTCTGAGAATGGTGGCAAATTTCTGACTCAAAATATTTGAAACATGACTTAGGGAGATTATTTTTTAAGGTTTATCTTTAACTCATCGATACAGCTTTCTAACCAACTCATTAACATAGTCTTCTAAAATGTTACTTCTAAAGAAAAGAGTGTGAATATAGCCTTGAAATAACAGCAGTATCTCTTAGGGACTTTTTACTTGGCCACGAGCTAAACTGTTGCTTTGTTAGCAATGGAATGAGAAAGTGACTTTTTTTTTTCCAGTACAGAAAGGGTAAGAGGGCTTCTAAACTTAGGAAACAAAATGCTGTGTAAGCAGGTAGTTTTTAATTTCTTAAAAAAAAAAACAGGGCAGAGTTTTGATTTCCTAAAGTCATGCAAACATCATGCCCATAGCCATGATTACAGAGGAAGTTTGTGGTGAAGTGTTTGGAGGGACTTGGGGTGATGCATTACCAGAAGAAAAACTAACATTTAAAAAAAGAATGTGGTAAGAATACAAATACAAATGTGATTGACTTTAAAAGGGCAAGTTTTCATCCTCCAAGTGACACAAAAGACTGAATGAAGTAGGGTCACAGTGGCTAGTGGGGTTAGCTCAACTGTAGAGGATCTGGCTAGCAAGAACATGGTCCTGGGTTCAATCTGCACACATGCACACAACGTGACCAGAAGCAGAGTGAGTGCCAGTGGCCTCCCTCCTGCTCTAAAGATGTAGAAAAAATGGTTTGTACATTTTCAAGCTTTGGGGCTTGGATACAAGGTTCCATTTCCTATGGTATAGAGTAAGCTATATGTTTCTGTGTCCTGTGTATTTTATAGACTTGTCAGCAATCTTTGGAAGAGTCTAAGGCACTGGCTAACCAGAACCCTCCACATCTCATTACCCATACAATGAGGGTAACATTAAAACAAGAAAACAGTACAGTATGGTTTTCTTTTAATCCTATGAAAACATTTATGCATCAGGATAGAATCTTTTTTCCTTTGAAAGAACCAGTGGATAATTATTTGTTATAATACAGGGTGAAGTTCGGAGAGGAAATAGACCAACATTAGCTAGACTGGGACCTTAAAAATAACAGTGCTAATGCTAATAAGATAGACTAGTTAAGACTGAAGCAGGAGGATTATAAATTCCAGTCTAGCCTGGACTAGAAAGCATGACTGTCTCAAAAACAAACAAATAAACAAACCAAATAAATACTGAGTGGAGAATATTATATTTGCTGGGAATGTTTAAAAAATTAAATCCTTACATTTTTATTTCATGTTTATAAAAAAATTTAAAAAGGTCAGAGTCTGTTTTTTTGTTTTGTTTTGTTTTTTGAGACAGGGTAGTTATTCTGGAACTCACTCTGTAGATCAGGCTGGCAGAGATTCCCCTCGTCTCATTTATCCAAGGCTAGCCTCAAAAGTAGCCAAAGATGACCTTAAATTTCGGACCCTCTAGCTTCTACCTTTCCAGTGCTGGAAACACTGATTTATGAGTGCTAAGGAATGAACCCAAGGACAGGAAAGCACTGTAAAATGAACATATTCAACTATATAAAAAGTATATTACATACGACAGATAGTAAAAATTTCAACACAGATAATACACTTTCCAGTCGTCCGCCCCCACCTCCTATATTAGGGAAGTAACACTCTAGTTAGGCAAATACTCTTTATCGCCAGCCACTTCCCAGCCTTGATGCTAACTCTTAAATTAAGAAAAGGAAAAAAAAAACCCAAAAGACTACATATTAAATAACAACCTTCTAAAATGTAAAATTATGTGCTCAGGGTTCATGGAGGCATGCCATTGACCTTTGTTTTATGAGGCAATATACTGTTTCTGCACCAGGTTAACTAACCGGAAAGAATTTAGGAAGTCTGTCTGTGAAACTGCAGGTCAAAATTGGTATCCAGAAGACCCCAAGAGAGTTAAGCCACGAGTGTGTGAACCATGCAAATTACTGAGTTATTTCTGAATGCCACATAAGTCAGCTACACTTACTGACATGTCCATAAAGTTATTTTCTTTAACGGTGTGATCTGGAGAGTTTGGTGCCGAAGGCAGAGGGGCACTGATGGAGACCGTGCCCTAGAGGAACCGATTGGGTCTCCTCCTGCCAGCACACCCTATGCCGAGCGACCATGCCCTTTCCTGAGAGGAGCAGGTGGGAAAGTTAATGCTCATCTGCCGAGATTCCTGGCTCTGGCACAAGCCCGGCTGCCCCTGGCAATGCCTCTCTTCTTCCTGGAGACCAGTTTCAAAGTTTAGTCTTCCCCCTCCACAGTGTGGGAAGCGAGCTTTCTGTTTCTTGAAGGTTCCAAGTCGCGAGAAAAAAGGCGGGAAATAAACACAAGCGAGGCCTCCAAGCGGACCGAGTAAGAGGCGGTCACGTGACTCGCCGCGCTGCCTGCTGGGAGCTGTGCGCTGGAGCGCCTGCGCAGAGGAGCACGAATTCTTCGCTGTTTTGCCGTTCTGAGGCGGCAGGTCGTGGCCGAATCTCCGATCGCGAGTGGGACAAGAGGGTAAGCGTGTGCACCCATAAAGAGAGGAAATGGAGTGGAAAGAAAAGCAGCGGGTGGGGATGGGCGAGGCCTCTGTGGGGCTGGGGTCTGGCATCGGGCTGCAGAGCAAACCGGAAGGTGTGAGGAGGGCGAGGGAAGGAGGCAGGAAATGGCGTGAGGAGACGACAGCGCTGTGAAGAGAACACAACAGAAGGCTGGGGCGACAGGGGTAGCACACACCTATAATCCCAGCACTCGCAGCGGGGCAGTGGTGGCGCATGCCTTTAATCCCAGCAATTGGGAGGCAGAGGCAGGCAGCTCTCTGTGAGTTCGAGGCCAGCCTGGGCCACAAGAACTAGTTCCGGGACAGGCTCCAAAAGCAACAGAGAAACCCTGTCTCGAAACCCCCCTCCCCCCAAAAAAAAGAAAGAAAGAAAAAGAAAAAAGAAAAAGAAAATCCCAGCACTTGGAGCACGGGGGCAGGAAGATTGCTGCGAGTTTGAGTCCGGCCTCGGCTACCCAGGGAGTTCTAGGTTAGCTTGGTTTTTGTGGTGAGTCTCAGTCCAGGAAAATCTGAAACCAAACCAACCACCGCCTGCAGAAGGAAAACCGAGACAAACAGCAAACAGTTGCACAAGGTGACGCCGTAGATGGCAGAGCCACAAGTCACTGATTTTTCTTAGGGTGAGGACCTGCCTGTTAACCCAGACTTTGGCTAGTCAAGAGTCTCAAATTGTGTCAGTAATCACTTTTACAAACACAGAATTACCTAATTATAGACTTTTATTGTGTTTTTATTATTTATTTATGTATACGTTCTGTTCGTTTGAGAAAAGAAGAAGCAGAAAAGGGAATACTAAAAGGGGAAGAAGACTTTTTCCGTGTGTGGGCGTCTCTGAGATACTTTCCGGTTCTTTAGGAACATCAATCCATCCATTTTCTACATGTTAGGTCGCTAGCTCTTCAGTTTAGTACCCTGAAGGTAATGGTAGGCACTTGGAAGGACTGTGCTGAGGTTAGAAGTGTCTTTATAATCTGCCTTTTGCTTTTGTTTCCGTCATATGTATATTACATATAAATACTCGGATTCTCTGTAGTTAAATAGCTCATGATACTTAAAAGAAACAGATGGAGCTGGGTGTGTGGCGAAGGCCTTTAATCCCAGCACTCTGGCGGCAGAGAGTCAGAGTTTGAGGCCAACCTGGTCTACAGAGAGAGTTCCAGACAGCCAGGGCTGCACAGGGAAACCCTGTCTCAAAAACACCAACAAATAGAAAGAGAAACAAACAGATAATTTGAATGTAAATAGTTCTTCAGCCCTAAAATACAGTAGAGATCATCCTTCCAAGTTCCAGTGTCTTTTCAAGTTTAAGCCTAAACAGTTCAGATTCTCAGGAAAATGGCTTCAGAATTTATGGGAAAGCAATTTGATGCCATCTTATGGTAAGGGCAGGGCAATAAAAACAATCTCAGACTAGAAGAATGAAGAGATCTTGTTTCTGGGATAGCTTGGTTTTATTTATTTACATGTGATCAACCATCTCTTTCTGTCCTTTCAAGAAAGAAGAAAGGGGAGCTCTAACCTGTTTTTTTAAAATTATTCTTATCATATATTACATTCCTACCTCAGTTTCCCCTCCCTCTACTCCTCCAAGCCTCTTCCCCCTACCTCCCCTCTGCCCCAGATCCACTCCTCCATTTCCCTTCAGAAAAGAGCAGGCCTTTCAGGGATCACAACCGAACAAGGCATAACAAGCTACAGTAAGACTATGCACAAACCCTCATTATCAAGGCTGCATGAGGCAACTCGATAGGAGGAAAAGGGTCCCAAGAGCATCTGACCTCTAATTTTAACATTAACATTTTATAGAGACAGAAGAATCATAAACTTTCTAGTGCTAAACCAAGATAGAATTGCCAGTGAGGTTAGTTGAGCTCTTTTTATACAGACGAGTAGTTGAAATGATGTGGATAATAAGTTGATCTCAGATGATGGAGGCCATTGGATACTGTGTGATAAAACTTGAGTTTACTGACCCAGAAGGTTGTTGAATGGAAAAGTTTTGAGAGACAGGATGAAATAGAGAGGGAAGAAATTTAAGTGGCAGATAAGGAGAGCAGAAATAATGATGGTGGAGGTGGGAAAAGGACCCAGGTGAAGAGAACTGTAGTGTGGTCCTCGTGTCTAAATTTGACAAATCTCTAAACTTTATAGTTTGGGCCTCCAGAGTATAATGGCAAACCACCTCGTAAAACCTGATTCTAGAAACTGCAAGAGGTCAAGAGAATTGGAGGTAAGTTTATGCTCCTGGAACCTTTTAATGTATTTTACCCATTTCTGGTTTCATTTTCTTCAAGAAAGTGCTATTGGTAAATAAAATTTAGTGTTCTCATAGTCTCGGAGGTAGGATTGTCCTAGCAGGAGCTATGTTGACTCCACCTAGTTTTCCCACTAAGAACAGATCTATAAAAATCTACTTGGTAGCTTATGGCTTTAAAAGTAACCAAGGTGAGTCCATGTCTTTTGGTACATGAGGCTTTACACAAAAAATTATTTGCTAAGATGAGTAAAATTCTTACATGCCATAGGCTCATCTGGTGATTGTACTTAGAACATCAGATTTCAGTGGTTAGTACTTTCTTTCACTGCTGAGCCATGTCACCAGTCTCTATATTACAAAATTTTCCACCATTTATCTGTTGTCTAAATTACAGTTATCTTGTTATTATAAAAATATCCACTGGTGCAAGATACAGGACTGTTTTTCATTAAGAGTTAAAAGCTATTTTCAAAATCTCAAAACTTAGCAAAATTTAATATTTTGAGCAAGGTGTTTCTTGTGCCTAAAGATTTCCTTGATGATAAAAATTTAAATAACTGATAAGGAATCTCTAGCATATCTGCTATTTATTTATTTATTTATTTATTTTTACTTTTCAGTGCTTTCCTAGTCCAATGCTTTCACACTGAACTAATCCCCAACTCCAAGCATGGAGTTTTCATTTTTAATTCTGAAAATTAAATTTTCAGAATGAAAATTCAGTACTGGGGACTGAACCTACAGCCTTAAGGATGCTAGGCAAACAACTAACACAGAAAGAACTGTGTCCCCAATCCTCTGGAAAAGTTTGGTTTGCTTTTTTAATAAACAGAATATATATGTCTAAAGATCTTACCATTGATCTGTTTTTTTTGTCTTTTCTTAGCCTCAGGTGTCAGGTAGTCCACAGGTACCCTCGCTTGGAAAATTGGATTCTTCTTTCTCTGAATGTTCTGGACTCCTTTATAAAGAGGAAACCCTGGAGAAGGATTTGAGTGGTGATGCATTAATAATTCTTGTATTTATGTGTATTGGCTGGATCGTGCAGAAACTTTATTAGATTTTACAACCTACCCACTTTTTTGAACAGATATGAGCAAGGAAATTGATCTGATGTTGTCTACATATGGAAAGATTTTGAGGCAAGTAATTATGGCATTTTTGAGTATTTTTGTTAGAAATCCTTTATTCTTGAAAAATCAGTAATGAAAAATTTAATTCCATGACTTAAAAATCTATCTGGTAACTAGAAATTTGAAGTTTCACTTTTGTCTTGATTCCTTATGATAGATGAGTTGATTATTTTAAGGGAATAATCCCCAACTTGTCCAAACATCGTTTGTCATATTTTTAGTGCTAATATCAGTGTGGATGTATCTTGGTCTCTAGATGATAGTATCTTTAAAATTTTATTCAAGCACCTCCTTGAGAATAGATTTTTTTGGTGAAATTAATGTTAATGGGGTTAGATTAAAGATGAATTTTTCACATATTTATATCCTATTAGTATACATTTCAAGACTGACTTTAAATGTTGATTTGAGAATTTGAAGTGTTACAAGCTGCTTTATAAGCTACTGGAAAGTCACTATACCTAAGTGATAGTTTAATTTTAATAATTTATAACTAAAGTATATAAGATGCACTTTCTGTGTGTCAGGGGACTTTTTAAGTAGTAAAAATATTTGCTGGACTGATTTAACGTTTTCTTGGAGAATATTAGTAAATTAATTAAGTTCTATGAACTTAATTGAAGCATGAAAATGAAATAGCTAATAAAGGACATGACAAGATAGCATGTCTAGACTTTATAACTCATTTTAACATCAAGCCTTTCTTCCTATTAGTGAGAGAGCAGCTGTAGATGCGTCTTACATTGACGAACTAGATAGACTCTTCAGAGAAGCCAATATTATTGAAAATTTTCTGATCCAAAAAAGAGAGTTCCTGAAGCAGAGGTTTGCAATGATTACCAACACACTGCAAAAGTAAAGTGCCCATACTCACTGAAAGTTGGTCCCTATTATTGCTATATTCTACTTGTTAAAGAACATATATGAAATAAACTGTAACTTTCTAAATTTAAAAGGGATTTTAATATGAACAGTAATATAAAGCTTGTAATCTTTATTTTGAGGGTTGAATATTTGGAACATTATATAAAAATGTAAATTAAAAATTATATGCGTTATTTTTTCTCCTTTACTCCTAAATTGCTTAACTCTTCTTAAATTGTAAAAGAGGGCTCTGTTAATTTGATTATGCCTAACAATATTTGTTTAAATAGCAGCTAATTTTGGAGATAGTTTTCTTGGTTAGTATTATAAAAGAACTTAAACATTAAAGGTCGTTTGTCCAGTTTTTCAACATATAATAAAATATAACTATGTGCTGCTGCTATTTAATATTACCATTTAATTAATTTTACTTTTAACCATTATATTTGACTAATAAAAATTTGACTTAAAACATTTTCATTTGATAAAAGTAGTAAAATAAAAAATTCAAAGTTGCTATAGTCTGACTATTTCTTTATTTTTTAAGCGTCATGCTCTATGGAACCCAGGTGAATTCATGGTACATCTGCCTTAACCTCTAAAGTATCAGCACTATCGTTATGTAACACCAAGTCATGCTGTTTGGGTGAATTTTTACCTAATAACCACATGGGTTTGTGAAGCTGATGAATTATATTTAGAAGCCTTAGCTGTAGGGTGGATGAGATGGAGATTAGTAATATGGAACACAGGAGGTCAGCTTAACCATGGCTTTGGCAAGGCCACTTCAATCCTATGATAATGTAAAGTTGAATTTGGTCTAAAGGATCTCTTATCAAACCAAATAATTCCTCTTTTGATACAAATTAAATACAGCTATGATTTTATTCAAAATGGTCTATATAATATATAACTACATTAGTTGGGTTAAAAAATAGCAATCTCCATTTTCAGTCATATACACAATTTGGTCTTCTGTATATGTATTTTCCAATATAAGCAATTAGAACTTGGGTTCATTTGCATCGGGCACTATAAGGAATTTGTATTCCTTAGGCAGGAATCTTACCTGCCTATAAACTTTAAAATAAATTTTTATTTTATCAAATTTCTTTTTTGTTTGTTTGAGGCAAGATCTATGTAGCCCTGACTGACCTAGAACTCACTATGTAGCCCAGTCTGGCCTTGAACCCTCAGAGATTTAGCTGCCTCTGCCTCCAGAGTGATGGAATTATAAGAGATAAGAAAGGGGAGGAATGGGGTGCTGAATCCTGTGTCTTGGTATTTTTGCTTCCTAGAAATGTTTGCTACTTAGATTCTCAAAGATTCTTGTTAAAATAACAAATTCATGTGTGGTTCTATATATTCATGGTGTCCTGACTGTGCTTTATTGTGAGAGAATGCTTTTCATAAGATTAATAAATGTAGAAGGAAAGGGACGAAAGGGAGATAGGTGAGCTGTCTGCTGGTCTAAATTTGGACTTTATTCTGTGTCTGAATCATTCAGGAGAGAAATTGTGTAATGCCCTAAATCCAGTTCCATGGACTTAACTACAGGTGGGGGCAGATTCCAGAAAGGAATCTGACCAAGGAGGGAGATTATAATTGGTCTGATTTTGATGTCGAAACAAAGATTATTTATAGTTGGTTAGGATACCTGCCATGGAACTAAGTTCACTAGTGTTTTGAGGCCCCACCCCTTGCCTTCCCTCCCTCCAGTCCCATTTTGTCTCAGAGTCAGAGACAACCCAGGCTCATTTTTACTTAATAAGGCCAGTAACTTCGGATTTGGAAATCTTAAGACCTGCCTGCTGCCCCAGAATTGAGTAAAAGTTTTCTCAAACCTTTCTCCGTTTCCTCAGCAGCCTTCCTGCCACTGCAGTGGGCGTTCTTTCTGTGGCAGTGCACCAGCTCCCAGGTACGGGAATCCCCCATTTCCTTACTTCCTGGTTCCCTTCTTACCAGTTTGCAGGTGGACTGCTGGAACTCCGTCCTGAAGATTATGGCAGCCTTCTAAAGTCTCTCCCTCTGTGTGATGCAAGCAGCAGCTCCACAGAGGGAGAAGTGAAAAAAGGCTGACAGGACTGGTTTACTCATTGTGAAGGAAACAGTCATTGTGTTTACTCAGTTAATGCAACACACTAGGGCAGGATTAGGTCTAGAGATTTTTCTTGGATACCTCATCAGAAGGGGTTTTCTCTATTCTGACTTTTCCAAACTGAAAACCACTGCTTTATATTCTGATGTAAATGTTTGGTTTTTCCTATTTGCATTTTCCAAACTGGTTTCAAACCCCGTGGCTTTTCTTTTGCAACTTTCTATTGTAACTGGTATTTCAAGAATTTATTTTCAGTAATTGGTTGATACAGAACTGTCAGAAGTTGCACTGATATACATGGTAAATTATAAAGTTACCTAATCACTTAGTGCTTGCAGTGTGTGAGGCAGTATATTAGGTACTAGGACGGGGAGAGGTAAGCTAGACTTTGTATTCTAGGAGTACTTCTCGGAGAGGCTGTAAAGTGTACTTACCTTTATCACACAAGACAGCCAGATAAGGAGCACAGGGAAGCTACCAACAGCTGTAGTGGGGAAATGGGGATGTGATGCTTAGGAAGCAGGTGACCAAGAAACTGGAACTTGAAGGTTAAGTTGCACACGTCAATTTCATATGAAGGAGATGGGAATGTCCTGGGTGAAGAGAGTAGATTATTTATGAGAAGAGATTAGGGTATAGTTCATTTAGGTAGAGTGAACAGCTAGGTTGGGGTGAGACTATACAAGGCTTTCAAATGTCTGGTCAAGTAGTTTCAACAATAAGTGATTTGTGAGTTATTGAGGGATAAATGATACAGTCAGATTTGTATGTAGGAAACTTGATTTAGTAGTAGTGCATCTCTGCATTTTTCAGATCATTACACTGGTGTAAAACCATCTTTCTGGCTCATCTCATTTATCCTACAGATAAATTAGAATCTGGAGGCCTGAGGAGCTATCTAGAGTTGGAGGCAATTGGCCTGAGGTCTCCATCTCTTAAGATGGCCCAGGGGCTCAAGTAGCTCACAAAGTAGGAAGCTCTGGTGTGTGGAAGCAGCTTCATTCCTCACTGAATTTCTCTTTCCAGCTTCTCCTCCAGCTGGGAGGTTGGAGGAAGTGACTCAGAAGAAAGAGAAGTTGAGGCACAGAGCCAGGGAAGATACGCTTAGGTTAGGAAAAAATGTGTAGTCCCAGGGAGGAGAGACTGGTGAGAATAAAGTTATCCATGCAGAATTTTGAGTCTGGGAAATGTATACGTACGCCATGGAAGTCTTTTTCAGATTTCCCCTCCTGGTTCTGTGCCATTGTGGTCAGAAGAACTGTGTTGTAAGGGCAGAGAATAAAATGAGTTCAGTGCCCACAGAGAGACTAAAGTGAGGTGTTTTAGCTGGTGGAAGAACTGATTCAGAAGAGAAGGTCAAGAGTTGAGAGTCATGTCTGAGACATAACTGGAGTATTTAAGAGCCAAGATGAGATTCCTAAGGAAGAATGCCGAGTTTAAAGAGTAAAGGTCCAAGGTTATACCTGGACATTTATGTGGTGGTAAGAGGGAAAGGAGATTAACATTTGTAAAGTGTTATATTTAATTATGATGATAGATAGAGGCAGGAATTATTAACCTCTCTTAATCTTTATTTTATCTTGGAAAAACTTGAGGTTCGATGGGTTAAGATGTTTGCCCAGGTTTGTCAACTAAAGAATAAGGAAGCTGGCAAAAAAAACAGCATAGTTAGAGGGGAGCAAAATTAAAACAGCAATTAAATGTTAGAATAGCTTGTCTCCCAAGCCATGAACAGAAGCAGGTATATGGAGATGGTAGCATATCAAATATCTACCATATCAAAGACTACGAGAAGCTTGAAGAGGGTAAGATTGCCAATAACATGGAGTATAGAGCATACAGATAATCTAAATATAATTTAAAATGAAGGGGTAAGAGAGATGGCTTAGTGGTTCAGAGCACTGGTTCCTGTCCAAGATGATCTGGGTTTGATTCCCAACATACACATGGTGGTGTACAACCATCCTTCACTCCAATTTCGGGGAATCCAATGCCTACTTCTGACCTCTGAGGGCACCAGGCATACACATAAAATGTGAAATACTTAGAATTCATGTGTACCTAATTGGGCTGTTCAGTTTAACTCTATGTGAAATAGTTAATCTGCTTTTTATCAGGAAATTTTAATCTAAGAGGAGAATAAAATAGATTCACCACTGTTTACAAAAGTAGAGTAAAAAAAATCAAGATTTTTTTTTCCCCAAAGCCTTTTTTTTTTTTTTTTTTGGTTTTTCAAGACAGGGTTTCTCTGTAGCTTTGGGGCTTGTCCTGGAATTAGCTCTTGTAGACCAGGCTGGCCTTGAACTCACAGAGCTCCAGTCTGTCTCTGCCTCCCTAGTGCTGGGATTAAAAGTGTATGCCACCACTGCCTGGCCCAAAACATTTTCTTGATACCTCTACACACTATTTATCATTCCCATGTTTTTGTATAGCTACTTGCTTTACAACAGATACTATGTATTATTAGGTATGGAGTAGAATGGAGTTCAGGAATTTGGATTTAAACTCCTGTACCAGAGAGTAACAGGGAGGCATGATACCAGAGTGACTCATCTGACCCCTTGGATAACGAGTTCCTCTTGTTGGGGTTGGAGGCTTTTCAGTCTTTCTGCAATGTCTAGCTCTTTGTAGAAAAACTAAAATATTTCAAAGAAAGAAAATCCATAGTGCATCTTATTGTATTAATCATTAGACATTAAATAAATAATACCAAGCATTGTGGGGCTATGTATGTGTTCTAAAGTTTCCAGTAAACTTGCATGATCACTTAGTATGTAAGGCGTGATAAGAATTTTTATTTATCTTAGAAGTAAAAGCACAGAGAGGTTAAAAAACTTACTTTGGAAGTGACATAAGAGTTGAACCTAGACACTCTAGACTACATACGCTCTTTAAAGGAAGTAACATTTAAGTTAGACCTTGAACAACAGGTGTAATACCTGCTTCACTCTAGGTACAGTTCATGGTTCACAGTTCGCGAGCTGGACAAGGGCTTGGAGATTCAAACAACACACACACTAGACCTGGGTCATTCGAGAGGAGATAAGCTGAGTGCTGTTTATTCAAGTTTAGGAAAAAAACCTTAAAAACCTAGCTGTTGCACAATGGAATTCTCCCCAGGCAGGTGGGAAATTACCATGCCCAAGGTGGAGTAGACAATGGCCCTATAGCTAACTAATGTAGGAGGTTCTTCTGTCTATGTGTTGCTTTCATTGGTTGAATAAAGAAACTGCCTTGGCCTTTTGATAGGGCAGAACTTAGATAGGTGGAGTAGAGAGAACAGAATGCTGGGAAGAAGGACAGAGTGGCAGACACCATAAATCTCCTGCCTGAGATGGACATAGGTTAGAATCTTGCCGGTAAGCCACAGTCCCATGGTGTTACACAGATTGGTAGAAATGGGTTAGATCAGGATGTGAGAATTGGCCAAGAAGAGGCTAGATATAATGGGCCAGGCAGTAATTTAATTAATACAATTTCTGTGTGGTTATTTTGGGGTTTAAGCTAGCTGGGTGGTGGGTCGCAGCCCTCTCCTCCTACAACAACTAACCACCAGGGGAGCAGAGGGAGCACAGGAACAAACAGGTTGTTTAGCTGGAAACTGCAACAAGATGTTTGGTCAGAAACTGTCCTCAAGATGAACCCTGGGAGGAGGGGTAGACCCATGGGCCCTACAAACAGGTAGAATTTTCTTTACTTTTTCTGTTGTGTGTGTGTTTGTGTGTGTGTGTGTCTACAGGTAGAGGCTGAAGGTTAATAGCAGCTGTCTTCCTCAGTTTCTTTCCACCTTTATTTTTTGAGATAATATCTCTCTCTGACCCTGTAGCTGATAACTAACTGGACTGAACTGGCTGGCCAGCAAACCATAGACTCTTCATTGTACCAGTGCTAGGTTAACAAGACTGGTTGCTGCACCTATGTTTTTGTCATTCTTTATCTGAGTGTAGGAACTTAAGTCCCATGATTGCACAGTAAGCAATTTGCTGATTGACCTGCCTTCTGGTCCTCCTACTTCCTCCTGCTCTCCACCCACCCTTCCGAGACAGTATCTTACTTGGTAGTCCAGGATGGCCTTATATGCTCTTCCCTCTTCACTTTTTAAGTGCTGGTATTATAGTGTGCCACCCCAACAGCCAGATATTCTTGTTTTCTTTTCATGTATACACACACACACACACACACACACACACACATAATTAAAATAGGGAAATTAAATCCAAATCTTTATAAATATATAGAGATCAAAGTGAAATCTTTGGGATTTACATTCTGGCTTACCTAAGGTACCATTAGCAATATAACTATGGTAATATTGAATGACCGCCATTTTCTCTTTAACAATTAAATTGCTATTAGTACATCTGGGGTTAATAACATGGGGAGTTAATCTAGAAAAAGAAAAGAATTGTTCAACTATGAGAAATGACAATAGTAGTAATTAAGGTTTTATGTTAACACTTCATGTTTTGGTTTAATTTTTTAAAATTTTCTTTTGGGAGGCACTGCAGGGGTGAGGGGAGGGTATGGGGAGACTGAAAGGAGACTAGAATTAGAGTGCATGATGTGAAATTCCCAAAGATTCAATAAAGAATTTTAAAAAGAAAAAAAAAAAGGAAAAGGAAAAGGCGAGAAGAATTTGGAGACTGGTTTAGATTCACATTTCCCTCAAGCTCTCATTCCATAGAATTACCTGGAAGGGATAAGTATGTTAGCAGGAGGTCCTGTAACTGTGTGTGTGTGTGTGCTTGTGTCTGCAGTGGAATAAACATGTTAACAAGAGGTCCTGTAACAACACGTGTGTGTGTACATGTGCACGTGTGTGTGCTTTTCGCTCCTCTTTCACAGTTTTGAAGAAGCACGTGGGAAATATTCACCAAACACCATGTCGGGACAACAAAAGAGTCTGTCGTGCATTGCTCCACTGCTGACCACGGTGGAGGAGACACAGGACACCCTCTCCGCTCAAGTCCGAGGACACATTCCTGAGTGGCTCAGTGGCAGTCTTCTT